AGTAAGGAGACACCCCAGAACTTTTTAATTCGTGTTTTAGATCTTAGGCAGAAGATTTTATTTGCATCACAGGAAGCGGAGTCTAGTCTCAAATATGATCCCATTCTGGTGCAAAATATGTTTCTGCATACAGTTCTTACCGGTCTGCAAAATGACTATATCAGAGGGGATCTGAAGCCATACCTGCAACAAACAGATGTGAGTGACGAGCTGTTGTTAGAGAAATTAAACCTTGCATGTATGACTGAAACAGAGACAAAATAAAAAGAAAACTGCAGTCCAGCATCGTCCAGTGGTGGTGCATTCGGCGGAATGCAACGATATCCCAGCACCTGCAGAAAAGAAAGGGAAAACGTCACTTCAGGAAAATAAAAATAAGCATAACCCTGATTTGCTAAATGAACTCAGAGAAATAAAATCAGACATGGCACTATTAAAGAACCTCAGCGCTGAAGTGTCACAGATTAGAGAGTCGATTCAATTACCCCAGACAGCTGCGGAACAGGGTCTGTCCTCGCCAGGTTTCCGAAACTATGCCTCAGCTACTCACCCTGAATGCCCATTCCCTGGGTACTGGCCCAATTACAATCCAGGACAGAGAGGGAGAACAGCTCAGTTCCCGCAAGGATTTGCACCACACCGTCTTTCCACCCAGACAAGAAGTCAACGAAGAAGATGCTTCAACTGTCAGCAGAGTGACACTGAAAATTATTGCACCCACTGCTATAGATGTGGAAGCAGTGAGCATTTCTTTGCGAGCTGTAGAGCAAGGGCAGTAAACTCATCCAGGGATGCTTATTTAAATGAGAGAGGGTTACTTCCACGGGACAGGGAGTAACCTGCAAGATGTTAGAGTCCAATCAACAATGCTCGGGGTGTGGGATGAAGGAAGGTGGCCATAATTTACGAGTATGCACATTCTGCCGCAAAGCTCTCTATTGCTCCAAGTTATGTCATGCTCGTCACTGGAGAAGACACAACCGATCTTGATCCCAAATGGGCGGAAGGGCTAGAGTTCCAGGAGACACTTTTAAAGGTTAAGAAGGGGGTTCCACCATACATCGTACTTGATGCTCGGAATCCTACGGACCATGACATTGTCCTGTGTAGAAAAGCAGTCATAGGAACAGCACATAGGGTACAAGCTGTTTATCCGTCCATGTCAGTGGATCAGTCAATTCAGTCCATACCTGCTTCAGTGAATCCCATCCAAACAAGCAGTGCTGAGTTTGCCAGTGATACCTGGGACCCTCCAGTAGATTTGGGTCATCTGAGTCAGCCTGAAAAGGAAATAGTATGCAAGATGTTACGAGAGGAATGTGCGTCATTCTCGAAGTCAGATGATGACATCGGGTGCATAGAAAATCTAACCCTGAAGATATCCCTTCAAGACACAGTTCCTGTTGCACGTTCATACATATCTGTGCCAAAACCACTCTATAGGGAAGTAAAAGATTACCTTCATGACCTGATTGCTCAGGGTTGGATATCAAAATCAACATCATCTTATGCATCACCTGTTGTCTGTGTTAGGAAAAGGGATGGAAGCCTCCGCCTTTGTGTGGATTACAGGGAGCTGAATAAGAAGACCAATCCTGATCGTCAACCAATTCCCAGAATCCAAGATATCCTTGACAACCTGGGTGGGAATTCATGGTTTTCACTATTAGATCAGGGCAAAGCATATCATCAAGGCTTTATGGCAAAGGAGAGTAGGCCCCTGACCGCATTTGTAACCCCGTGGGGGTTGTATGAGTGGATACGAATTCCTTTTGGCTTGATGAATGCTCCAGCTGCCTTTCAGAGGTGTATGGAGGAATGCTTGGAGAGGTTGAGAGACCAGATATGTGTGCCATACCTTGATGATATCTTAGTCTACAGCAAGTCCTTTGAAGACCATGTCCACCATGTGCGGGAGGTATTGCAGCAGCTTAGACGGTATGGAATAAAATTGAAGCCAAGCAAATGTGGAATGTTCAAAAGGGAAATCCGCTACCTCGGAAGAATTGTGTCGGCTGAAGGTAGCAAAGTGGATCCAGCTGACACGGAGGCTGTGCGAGCTTGGAAGGAAAAGAGACCAAGTACCGTCGGGCAGCTGCGAACTGTGATGGGCCTCTTAAGTTACTACCGACAATATATTAAGGATTTTTCAAAGATTGCTGGACCACTGTATGATTTACTCAAGAGCACCCCGGGAGTGGAAAACACTTGCCAAAATTTCAGATGAAGTAAAGTGAAGACTAGAGGAGTGCCTTCGAATTGACATCGGGTGCATAGAAAATCTAACCCTGAAGATATCCCTTCAAGACACAGTGCCTGTTGCACATTCATACATATCTGTGCCAAAACCACTCTATAGGGAAGTAAAAGATATACCTTCATGACCTGATTGCTCAGGGTTGGATATCAAAATCAACATCATCTTATGCATCACCTGTTGTCTGTGTTAGGAAAAGGGATGGAAGCCTCCGCCTTTGTGTGGATTACAGGGAGCTGAATAAGAAGACCAATCCTGATCGTCAGCCAATTCCCAGAGTCCAAGATATCCTTGACAACCTGGGTGGGAATACATGGTTTTCACTATTAGATCAGGGCAAAGCATATCATCAAGGCTTTATGGCAAAGGAGAGTAGGCCCCTGACCGCATTTGTAACCCCGTGGGGGTTGTATGAGTGGATACGAATTCCTTTTGGCTTGATGAATGCTCCAGCTGCCTTTCAGAGGTGTATGGAGGAATGCTTGGAGAGGTTGAGAGACCGGATATGTGTGCCATACCTTGATGATATCTTAGTCTACAGCAAGTCCTTTGAAGACCATGTCCACCATGTGCGGGAGGTATTGCAGCAGCTTAGACGGTATGGAATAAAATTGAAGCCAAGCAAATGTGGAATGTTCAAAAGGGAAATCCGCTACCTCGGAAGAATTGTGTCGGCTGAAGGTAAGAAAGTGAATCCAGCTGACACGGCGGCTGTGCGAGCTTGGAAGGAAAAGAGACCAAGTACCGTCGGGCAGCTGCGAACTGTGATGGGCCTCTTAAGTTACTACCGACAATATATTAAGGATTTTTCAAAGATTGCTGGACCACTGTATGATTTACTCAAGAGCACCCCGGGAGTGGAAAACACTTGCCAAAATTTCAGATGAAGTAAAGTGAAGACTAGAGGAGTGCCTTCGAATCAACCAATAATTTGGAAGGATGAGCACCAAAAGATCTTGGAAAAATTTATAAACCATCTGGTCGAACCACCTATTCTTGGATTTCCAGACTTTTCACTGCCTTTTATTCTTCATAGAGATGCCTCAAACCAAGGCCTGGGGGCAGTATTGTACCAAAAGCAGGGGGGTAAGCTCCGTGTAATAGCGTATGGATCTCGGACCCTCACAGCTGCCGAACGAAATTACCACCTCCGTTCGGGTAAATTAGAGTTTCTCGCCCTCGAGTGGTCAATAACGGAGAAATATACAGACTACTTATACTAAGCACCTACATTCACAGTCTTTAGCGATAATAATCCTCTCACGTATGTACTATCCAGCGTGAAACTCAATGCCACCGGCTGTAGGTGGGTAGCAGAGTTAGCCGACTTCCATTTTTCAATAAAGTACCGCCCTGGCTGAGAGAATGCAGATGCCAACAGTTTATCAAGATTGCCTCTAGACATTGAAGGGAGGAAATGTCATCAGACTGCATTGCAGCCACCGCACAAGCTGTAGAAGTGCAGGAAGATACCTCACCTTGGGTAGTATCTGACTCGTCTCCATGTTCACCTGACATGGGTGACAATGAACCTCTTCCTGTGGCTAAAATACAGCAGAGTCAAAGGGAGGATCCACACATCGGGCCTGTAATAATATATAAATTAACTGGTGTGCGACCTTGCCCCAAACAAATGAAGTCTCTTACCCCTCAGAGCCGATGTCTTCTTCGTGAATGGGAGAAGCTTCATTTGGATGTGAGCGGCATCCTAAAGCGGAAGACAGCTAATAGACACCAACTGGTCCTACCTGAAAGATACAAGGCAGTGGTAATGAAGAAGTTGCACAATGAGATGGGTCACCAAGGAGTTGATCGCACGACATCACTGATAAGAGACCGTTTCTTTTGGCCCCATATGCAACAAGAGATTGAACATTATGTTGCAAAAAGCTGTCATTGTTTGAAGCAAAAGAAGTCTTGTAGGGAGACAAGGGCTCCTCTCATTAATATCATTACAACTCAGCCTTTTGAGCTTGTATCTGTTGATTTTCTTCATTTAGATAAATGTAAGGGGGGTTACGAATACATATTAGTGATAGTTGACCATTTTACACGGTTTGCGCAGGCGTATCCCACAACATCAAAGTCTGCTAAAACGGTAGCTGATCGCCTGTTTAATAACTATGCCCTGCGATTTGGATTTCCGAGACGAATGCACCACGATCAAGGTGGTGATTTTGAAAACCAGCTTCTAGCCCAGCTGACAAAGAATTGTGGTGTCCTCAGTTCCAGAACAACGCCATACCACCCGCAAGGGAACGGTCAGACGGAACGATTCACCATGACTTTACTTCAAATGCTCAAAACACTGACAGACAAGCAGAAGACGAACTGGAAGGAATCCCTGAATAAACTGATCTTTGCATATAATAGCACCAAATGTGAGGTAACAGGATTCTCACCTTTTTATCTTCTTTATGGCCGGCATCCCAGACTACCAGTGGATCTACTCTTTGGTTTGGAAGAAAGCACTGGAACAGTGAGCCACCAGGAATACCTGCAGAGATGGAGAGAACAGATGCAAGAAGCACATGAAATAGCAAGAGAGAATGTGGGAAAAGCTGCTGTGCGTAGTAAAAAACACTACGATAGAAAACTGAGAAGTACAACCTTGTATCCGGGTGACCGTGTACTTGTTAGAAACTTGACACCAAGAGGAGGCACGGGCAAATTGCGCAACCACTGGGAAGAGACCATCCACACTGTCGTGAGGTGAATGATGACCTCTTGCTGTCATGTGATCTCCTGCCAATGGAAGGGCAACCTGACACAGCTGCTTATTTAGAAAAAAAGATGACAAAGCAGAAGAGAAATGATACTGTAAAATCTAATGAAGATGAAGAAGAGGATGAGGACGAGTTCTGTCTTTATTACTCACCAAACCAGCAGCAGTACCGTAGAGAAGGGAGTGACGGAGATCCTGATGAGTTAGAAAGGGAGACAAGTGGACTGGCCGGGCAGACCAAGGATGGTGAGGATATAGGAGAAAGAGTGGACACTGTTGAGCTTTCACATGAAGAATGCCCAGGTGAAGACGGGGATGAAGAGCTGATTCAAGTAGAGGACCCATTAGTGACAGGGCACCGTGAAGAGGAACGGATTGAAGTTGAGCACACAGTATCACTTGAGCCATGCAATGATTCCACGGTAGATGAGAGACATCCAAGACCACAGAGAGAAAAACGAGCCCCTCGACTGTTCACTTATGATCACCTCGGAACCCCCACCTGCTATAATACAAGCTGTAGTGGTGAAGTTCAGCAGTATCAGAATATGTCTTACCTTGGACAGCAAGCACTTCCACCATGGCCAAGTCCAGTGCCATTTTATAATCCCTACCCATATCTTATGTACGGATATCAGAGATAGACTGTAGCATAATTCAGGCTAAGAAAAGATTGATATAGTAAAAGCAGAATACCCCATGTTGAAGGAAAATTAATAAGATTAAAAATTAAAAAAAAACTGTGCATTTCAAGATGTCGGGACGACATCTAAATTTTGAGGGGGAGTGTGTAGAGGTTAAAAAGATCAAAGATCAAAATGATCATATAAATGAC